GCAGTTTGCTACACCCCTTCTGCTTCTGTTTCTTGCTGCTCAACCTCCTCTGTGCCTGGGCTGCTCCGGCGAGGTTGGGTATCAGAAAGGACCTTAAATAAGTTACCCTCTGAACGGGGGTTTTCAAAAGGAGGAAGTAACACAATACGGGATGATCGCAACAAGGTGTGTAGTCTGGGATTATTCATTGCTTTGTTGTGCTCCAGTAATTTAACAGTTGAGGTGGTCTTCTTCTAGGATATATTATAATGTTATTACAGAGGCAGATTCTCAGGAGGACTTTGCATCCTCTAGCTCAGAAATAAAAAGAATTGACTGCTAAAAAGGATTTTCACTTCCTTTTAGGGTCCCAGCTGGCAAAACACAATTGTTTGTTAAGTAATTGACTTGTTTATAAATTGTCCACAGGAACATAGAGAAAATCTTGGGGTTTCTTTGCTGAGTGTTTCAAAAGTTGGTATGTCACCTGTGCTGGGCGTGTGGCCCTGGATTCTGGAGATCTAGGCAAGTTTTTAATGACTTGAAGATACAGGAATCTAAAGATGCACCTCCTTGCTTTTTAAATATTGTCCATAATATTCAACCCGGCTTTTTCTAAACCCTCAGAATTCAGGGAGAATTATGCCAGCATGTTTCAACAGTAATTTGGCCTTACAGCCAGGAGATCTGGTTTAGTGATGGTGGTGCTTTTTGTTTGTTGTGTGGGTGTCTATTTTTGTCAGTTAGGTTGACGGTTGGACAAGATGATCTTGAAGGTCCCTTCCAACCTAGAAGATTCTGTGATTCTGAGTTTCACTACGATCACTCTGTACACCTTTGTATTCAGTCTCTTTTTTTTCAGGCTAATTTAGCTTATTTGGGAAAGTTCTATAAGAAACTTTAAGCTTTTCCAGCCTTTTGAAAGGCCATGTTCACGTGGGCTAGGGCAGGTGGGAACCTGGGTTTCATTTCTAACCCCTCACTAAAGAATTCCTCCGTAGCAAATGAGAGCTATTACTAGGGGAACCAGAGGGTTAAATTAGTCTTGTGTCCATGGCCAGGTTTCAAAGAGGAGACTCGGATTACTCTTAATGCAGAGAAGATATGTATTTTGAGAGGATTAAGGGAGGAAATCCAGCGAATGAGGGAAAAGTGGGGCTGGAGAAAGTAAATGGTGTTAAGTGTCTGTTTTTCACGTCTCACAATACTGAGTAGAAGCTCTGCAGATGCTGATGCAACCTCCAGCTGTGTTAAATAACCACGGGCTTTTCCAGGCGAGGGCAAGTTATGCAAAAGTTGGGCAATACAAACTGGTGCGTTCCACATACGGGTCTTCTCCACCATTTCCCTGGACGGGGGGTTACAGCACGCACTCATCTTTATTTCTAGAAAACCTCAATGCTAGCCTGCACCTCAAAAATTCAGTGCCAGGGTAGAAAAGGGAAGGTTTTGCCCTGAGAAGCACCCAATGACTGAGTGGTTTTCCTTTCACTTATTGCAAAAAGCAGCTTCTGGGCTGAAAACAGGTTTTTGAAGACTTGACTATCTATCTATCTTTTTTTCTTGTTTGGAGGGGGCGACATTGGGGGAAAGCTGGATGGAGAAAATGTCAAGGTTGACTCAATCCTCGAGGACGGACTGAATTGAGCAATTTTTGCAGAGGAAAATGTGCAAATGTTCAGGCAAAACGCCTACTCCCATGTAGTCCCGAGAGGCGATAGGGAAACTCCAGCAAAAGTTAATGACCTGAAATAACCGTACCATAACCACCTTTTTCAGCTAAATTGTATTATTATACCTCCACAAAAGGGGGACAAAAATACCACAGGCTAGGTTTATAGTATTTCACTTCTTTTTTTATTGATTCAATTTAAGATTTTTATGAACTCTCTTCCCTGCTGGTGCAATCCTGCAGGGGTGCCTTGGCACGTAAACTTAGAGATACTGGGGTGGCTTCCACTGGAGCTGTTTCCACTCTGCAAAGCCAAAAAAAAAAGAAAAACAAAGGAGAGGAAGTCCAGGCCTCTCCTGGAACTGTGCATTTTTGGTGGAGAAGAGGTGCTGTACCCTGTCCTTGTCAACCCTACAGTGAGGTGCGGCAGCAGAGACCTGATGAAGGTATGTCCCACCCCTGTCTTGCCAGCATCTGCCTTGGCCCATTGATCCAACCTGTCCAAATCCCTCCGTAGAGCCTTCTGACTCTCAAGCAGATCAACACTCCCACCTGGTTTGGTGTCATCTGCAAACTTACTGAGGATGCACTCAATCCCCTCATCCAGATCATCAATAAAGATATTAAACAAGACTGGCCCCAAAACTGAGCCCTGAGGGACACCACTGGTGACCGGCCACCAACAAGATTTCACCCCATTAATCACAACTCTCTGGGCACGGCCATCCAGCCAGTTTTTTACCCAGTGAAGAGTAATCAGGCCTGGAGGCTTGAACTTGGGCTTCACCTTGTAATTGTGAGGGATGCCATTTCATCCCTGGGGGTATTTCACCAGGAGAGGTTTGTGTTTCCTTCTCTGTTTGCCCTGGAGGCATGAATGGGACTTCAGCTGGGGCTTTCGAGGCTGGAGGAGTGAGAGGGAGGAACATTCTCTGCTCTGGATGTCATCAGCTTGGATGTCTGGACCTCTGCATGCGATGTGGGCGTACCCTTGGCCACTCTTACTGTGTGCATTAAGGACTTCCCCTGAGCTCCTGCCTCTAAGCCAGCAGGAAACCCCTTCTGTGGTCCATGGCTCCACTCCCGGGCATCTGCTGTGAGGAGGAAGGCTCCTCTGTCCCCTCTGGGACTTTCACCTGCCATGTGTACACCTCAGTATTGACAAGCAGAGGGAAGGGAGGCACTGCGTTCATATCAAGGGATTCAAAGTCCTGGTTTTACAAGGGTGTTTACGAGGGAGCTGCACTCGTCCTGCCCTGATTTTCTAGATGGTGCTTTTCAGGGCAAAGTTACTTGCAGGCAGGCTGTTCCAGGGCCTGACCACCTCTCAGCAAAGTCATTCTTCCTCAGATCTCATCTAAACCTCCCCTGCCCCAACTTCAGACCATTCCTACTGTTCCTGGCATGATTCCCTTGGGAGAAGAGGCCAACCCCCACCTCTCTACACCCTCCTCTCAGGGAGTTGTAGAGGGCAATGAGGTCTCCCCTCAGCCTCCTCTTCTCCAAACTAAACATGCCCAGTTCCCTCAGCCTCTCCTTGTGTGACTTGTTCTCCAGACCCCTCACCAGCTGGGTGGCTCTCCTCTGGACACGCTCCAACACTCCCATAGCCCCTGTTTCAGCACTGGGTTGTGCCTGGGTGCATCCCTGTCCCTGGTCATTGGTTTTTTTTAACCTCGTGGCCTATTTCATCCACTCCTGAGAAAGAAATTGCATTTTCAGAGATGCTCTGTGCCTACAAGCAATTCATATTTCCTCCAGGTTGCGGGCAAGTTTGTCTTGCACATGTGCCAAGCAGAAGAGACCATGATGAGGAGGGGACAGCATCTGAGGAACTGGGACCTAACAACCACCCAACTCACAGTTTCCTTTTCTTAAATGACTGCTACATAAAAACAGCTATTTTAAAAACACCAGCTTTTAGCAATGCTGTTCTAACCCCCTAGAGGCCCTACCTTGAGAGCTGTGTCCAGTTTTGGGCTCCTCACTACAAGAAAGACATTGAGGTGCTGGAGTGGGTCCAGAGAAGGGCAACGGAGCTGGTGAGGGGTCTGGAGCACAAGTCTTGTGAGGAGAGGCTGAGGGTGTTCAGCCTGGAGAAAAGAAGGCTGGGGGGAGATCTTCTCACGCTCTACAACTCCCTGGAAGGAGGTTGGAGTGAGGTGGAGGTCTGGCTCTTCTCCCAGGTAAGGAGCAATAGAACAAGAGGAAATGGTCTCAAGTTGTGTCGGGGGAGGTTTAGGATGGATATTAGGGAAAATTTCTTCATGGAAAGGGTTATCAAACATTGAAACGGGCTGCCCAGGGAAGTGGTAGAATCGCTGTCCCTGGAGGTATTTAAAAGATGGGTAGACATGGTGCTGAGGGACATGGGTTAGTGGTGGTTTTGGCAGCGTTGGGTTGATGGTTGGACTCAGAATCACAGAATCATCTACCTTGGAAGGGATCTTTAAGGTCACTATGTGTCATGGTCCTGCAGTGTGCCCTTTATCTCTGGCTTTTCTGGCCACAGTGAGAGGGGAGCAGCTGAGGAGACTCTTTCCTCTGACCCCCCTGCGGCCATCCCTGATGGGAGATGTGGTTGTTAGGAGACTGGGACAGCATAACAGCTTCCAGATTCCTGGAAGAAGAACAGCACAAAAGTGACCAGCAGTAGCCCCCTTTTGATTCCAGCTTCATTGCTCCTGGGTGGAAGGGTTGGTCCCAAGATCCCCAGGTTGCATCCATCTCCCAGCCACCCTGGGGCTAGTTTTGTCCCCATCCTGCCCACCTCATCTCTCCCACGTGGCCCCAGCAGTGAGAAGGAAGGATGGCATGATCACTGTGCCCTGTCCTGTCCCCACCAAAGTGTGACATCAGCAGGGTGGTTTCTGAGGCAGGAGGTGGTGGGTGCAGACCCTATGTGAGCCCTGGCCAGGGTAGAGATGCAGGTGCAGAAGCTGCTTCAACTTTTATTCATCACGTGCTGGGAAACGCCTTTGTATTGTGCACTGGCTTTTTTTAATTCCTCCAAAAAAAAGCCACAGGGGTGTATCCTACACCATTGTCCTGGTTGGGCAATGTGGAGCTGGGGTGATGCGAGGTGGGGTGAGGCTGTGCAGGGCTTTGTGGCAAAGCAGCAGCTTTCACGTGGGTGCAAATATTTTTTTTGGGGGGGGGGAAGAAAAGAAGAAAACTCTTCAATTTGGCAAAATTCCTTCTGGTGTGGGGAAGGCAGTGAGAGGGAGGAGGGCTGGTGGGGTGCGGGAGCTGCTGCCAGGGAGCGGGACTGGTGGGGGTGGATTTGGGGTGCATCTGGTGGTGCCTCCTCAAATCTGGGTGCGGAAGCGCAGGTCGGTGCCTGGGGAGGAGGGCTGGTGGGGTGCGGGAGCTGCTGCCAGGGAGCGGGACTGGTGGGGGTGGATTTGGGGTGCATCTGGTGGTGCCTCCTCAAATCTGGGTGCGGAAGTGCAGGTCGGTGCCCAACATCTTTTGTGCATAGTCCTGGTCGAAGCGCTCGCTCTGGGCCACAGTGAAGTGGTTCTTCCAGTCGCCGGTGGTGCCTGGGGCCGGGTGAGATGATGGGGCTCAGCAGGGGGCTGGGAAGATATGCTGAGATAGTCGCCGGAGGTGCCTGGGGCCGGGTGAGATGATGGGGCTCAGCAGGGGGTGGTGGGGGGGAAGATATGCTGAGACCTCCCCCACGGGGCTACTCACCTTTGCGCATGAAGGGGGAGATGCTGTGGTCCATGAATTGGGAGGGCACCATGCTGTAGTTGGTGGTGGGGTTGTCCCGCATGGCCTCAAAGGAGGTGTGTCGGGTGACGGCATCCAACGCTGCCTCCGACAGCTCCTGCCCCAAGAACTGGGCCACCTTGGCAACCTCCCGGCGGAGGTCCTGTGGGACACAAAGTGATGCTCACCCCTCCTGCCACCCCCCCTAGATCCCATACCACCATCCAGCCTGCTCTCTCACCTCCTTCAAGTCCTCATAGAAGAGGTAGAGGATGGGGTGATCCTTCCTCCGCTTCCAGTACTCTTTGACATGGTCGTACCAGGAGCCATACGCCACTGTGTGGGGAGAGCAGCCACGGGGATTGTCAGTGAGAGAGCTGGAGGAGGGATGTGAAGTGACACCCCACCACCACCACGGGGGATGCCCCTGTCCCACCTCTGCCAGCCATGAACTCCTCCAGGTACTGGGCCCACGTCCCTGGGTCCGGCTCAAACTTGTTCATCAGGTCAAAGTGGTAGAAGGAGACGGCCACATCCTTGGCATTGCGCCCCACGTAGATCATCTGCCGAGGGGCCATGGGGTACACAGGGCAGCTCCAGAACCCCCAAACAGGGGGGATGACCCTGCCCCTAGGGCTCCCAACACCGCTTAGGATGCTGGAGGGAGCAGCAGGGGGTCCTGCCCCCATCCAGGGGAACAGGGGGGCCGCAACTCCTCCTGGGGCAGAGACCAGGGTTGGGGGTTACCTTGCAGCGGTTCTCCCAGAAGGATTTGGGCAGGATATGTGCAGGCAGGTGGGTCTTCACCACACGGGGAGAGGGCATGTTGGCCAGCAGGTCTGTTCCTGGAGGACCCCAAAGCACATCCCTAGCAGGCCCTCGGCAGAGTCCCCTTGGGCTCAGTCCCTGGAGGGGGGGCCCACGGCCAAGCCACCAAACACCCCACTACCTGCTGGCATGTCCCCTTGGGCAGCGAACTCCAGCATGGGCACCCTGTTGCTGATGATGTCCCTCTTGCACTTCTCAGGGTTGCCACCTTGCAGGATCATGTCCACGATCTCAGTGACCCAGGTGGTGCCTGCGGAAAGAAACCCACCGGGGCGGGGGGGCCCAGTGCAACGTTGGTGGGATCTCAGCACCAACAACCCCTTGGACCTCGACTGGGTGCCATGGGGACCAGGGGAAGTCCCTCATGGCTCTGCCAGGGAGCCCTAAATGCCCTGTGTCCCCCGGGCAGGAGGTCCCAGCCATAAACCAGGCTCCTTCAGCCAGCACCACCAGGTCTGGTGGGCTTGGGGCCGCTCACCGGATTTGGGGAAGGTGACCACCACGATGTCCTCGGGACGGCTCTGGAAGTTGTCAATCCGCTCCCAGTTGCGGGCGAAGGCGTTGACCATGGGGACACCGTGGACCATCAGGCAGGGCTGCCGCAGGTAGGGGTCCGGATTGGCCATCCTGCTGGACACGGGGTGGGGGGGGACATGCTGGGTGGGCTTGGGGCCGCTCACCGGATTTGGGGAAGGTGACCACCACGATGTCCTCGGGGCGGCTCTGAAAGTTGTCAATCCGCTCCCAGTTGAGGGCGAAGGCGTTGACCATGGGGACGCCGTGGACCATGCGCCAGGGCTGCCGCAGGTAGGGCTCCAAACCGGCCATCCTGCTGGACACGGTACCCTGGGGCTGGGGGGGGGCTGTATCACCCAGGCACGACACCTCTCCCCCTGCCACAGCACCCCCGGGGAGGGGGGGACGGCAAGGAACCTCTGGGGGTCAAGGACCCCCAGCCCAGAGGGAGGTTTTAGGGGGTGCTGGCTGCACCCCAAAAGTCCCCCCCAAGTCCCCAACCACCACCACCACCACCACCCTGGACCCCACGGCACGCGACCCCGCGGGGCTGAGCACCCCCCAAGGGTGCACCCGGGCTCACCTAACGCTGCGCTGCTCTGCTCTGCGAGGAGGAGGAGGGTGAGGCCGCCGAGGGGAGGCTGAAGGCAGAGGGCGAGGGGAGATGTGGGGCCCCTGCAGCTGGTTTTACAAGGGGGAGGGGAAGGGAAGCGTGAGGGCGGGTGAGAGCAGCGATGTTTGCCAGGGAGGGAGGAGCGACACAGCCACCGCGGAACGGACCTCCCCACGGGGGCATCTCCTGCCCCACCGGCCACGCTCCCGGCCAGCCTGGGGTCCCAGCACCATGTCCCCCCCTCCTTGTGTGGGGGAAAGAGGGGGAGGCCACCTCCTGCTTCCCGGCAGGGAGTTTTGCCAAAATCCTCCTCGATCCCGCGAGCGGTGGGCAGCAATCCCCCCACCACAGTGCCCCAGGAGACCATGGGGTTCCACCAGCTCCTCTCCAGCCCCAGGAGAGGCCAACGGCCCCAGGGTCGGCACAGGCACAGGGCAGGGAACACCCCACGCTTGGGGGTTAGGGAGGACATTTTATTTCTCTCCAGAAGTCCCAGGGAAGGGGAAAGAGCCCCCCCACTTCCTCCCCACCAAGTGCAGTGGCAGTGTCATCAGCGTGGGGTGGATTTGGGGGGCATCTGGCGGTGCCTCCTCAAATCTGGGTGCGGAAGCGCAGGTCGGTGCCTGACATCTTCTGCGCATAGTCCTGGTCGAAGCGCTCGCTCTGGGCCACAGTGAAGTGGTTCTTCCAGTCGCCGGTGGTGCCTGGGGCCGGGTGAGATGATGGGGCTCAGCAGGGGGCCAGGTGGGACCACGGGCTGGAAGCTCTCCGTGGGGCCACTCACCTTTGCGCATGAAGGGGGAGATGCTGTGGTCCATGAATTGGGAGGGCACCATGCTGTAGTTGGTGGTGGGGTTGTCCCGCATGGCCTCAAAGGAGGTGTGTCGGGTGACGGCATCCAGCGCTGCCTCCGACAGCTCCTGCCCCAAGAACTGGGCCACCTTGGCAACCTCCCGGCGGAGGTCCTGTGGGACACAAAGTGATGCTCACCCCTCCTGCCACCCCCCCTAGATCCCATACCACCATCCAGCCTGCTCTCTCACCTCCTTCAAGTCCTCATAGAAGAGGTAGAGGATGGGGTGGTCCTTCCTCCGCTCCCAGTAGCCCTTGACATGGTCATACCAGGAACCAAATGCCACTGTGTGGGGAGAGCAGCCAGGAGGGTGTCAGTGGGTGACAGCACCCCACAGGATCCCCAGATGCACCTGCGGGTGCCCTGTCCCACCTCTGCCGGCCATGAACTCCTCCAGGTACTGGGCCCACGTCCCTGGGTGAGGGTGGAACTGATTCATCAGGTCAAAGTGGTAGAAGGAGACAGCCACATCCTTGGCATTGCGCCCCACGTAGATCATCTGCAGAGAGCTTGGTGACACTAGGGGACTTGCAAGGTCCCGGCAGAGCAAGTCTCCCCCTTTTCTCTGCTGGGTTCCCTCCAGGGGCGTCCCCTCCAGCCTGTTACCTTGCAGCCCTTTTCCCAGAAGGATTTGGGCAAGATGTGAGCTGGGATGTGGGTCTTGATGATGCGAGGGGACGCCATGGCCTCCAGCTGCTCCGTGCCTGCAAAGGAGGTTTCCCCCAGGAGTGGTCCCCCTGCCAGCGAGTGTCCATCTCCCCCATCTCAAACAAAGACTTTCCCCCATCCAGGACCCCCCCACCCCCCCAATACCTGCCGGCATCTTCCCGTGGGCAGCGAACTCCAGCATGGGCACCCTGTTGCTGATGATGTCCCTCTTGCACTTCTCAGGGTTGCCACCTTGCAGGATCATGTCCACGATCTCAGTGACCCAGGTGGTGCCTGCGGAAAGAAACCCACCGGGGCGGGGGGGCCCAGTGCAACGTTGGTGGGATCTCAGCACCAACAACCCCTTGGACCTCGACTGGGTGCCATGGGGACCAGGGGAAGTCCCTCGTGGCTCTGCCAGGGAGCCCTAAATGCTCTGTGTCCCCCGGGCAGCAGGTCCCAGCCATAAACCAGGCTCCTTCAGCCAGCACCACCAGGTCTGGTGGGCTTGGGGCCGCTCACCGGATTTGGGGAAGGTGACCACCACGATGTCCTCGGGGCGGCTCTGAAAGTTGTCAATCCGCTCCCAGTTGAGGGCGAAGGCGTTGACCATGGGGACGCCGTGGACCATGCGCCAGGGCTGCCGCAGGTAGGGCTCCAAACCGGCCATCCTGCTGGACACGGTGGGGGGGGA